ATATATATATATATATATATATAGTGAGAATATTTTATTAATTATTTTTATTAATTTATTATTTATTAAAAAATTATTGTCATATAAGTTATTGTTATATTGATAGGTGCACCATATTTCATGTGTTTTTTCTGTGTGTTTTCTTTAAATTGCATATTATTTGTTTTTAGTTTTGTAGTCTTTTATTATAAACATTATCATTATTTTTTCTAAATAAATAAATTTAATATATTTTTTTTAGATTTATGCTTTTTCACATGTTCATAATCATATTTTTGTGAATTTGTAATTTTTTTTATCTATTTTGAACTTGTAACCCTAAAATCTTTCAATGTAGCACTGAAGGTAAAGAAAGACATTTTTCTTCATATTGTGTATATATGTGTGTGTGTAAATATATACACAATATTAAAATACAAAATATTAAGATCAAATTTAAAACTAAAATAATCAAATAAATGATTGTCATTTGGTAAAAACTATGAAATATGTTCCACAAAAAAGGTGCCAATTTAATAAAACAAACATTTTATAAATAATTGTTAATATAATTTAGAAATTTCTATTTATATTTATAGCTATAACATACATTAATTGTATGTAAGAAATCATTTTTGAAAAGACTAGGAAAATATATGTTCTACAAGGTAAAATGACAATTTTTTAAAATAATTTCTGAACATAATACTACGAATCATTAACTACTATTATATGATTTCACAGGATTAATGGAAATAAAAAAAAAATAAAGGAACTTACCAGAGCCGAATCAGCTAAACATTTTATTAATCCAACGACAGCAAAAGCTAAAATTTGAGCACCCGTTCGATTGCTGTGAATTTTTTGGGATAAATCTTGCATAAATTTTGGCATTTTCTGTAACAAATACGTAAAACAAATTATATAAAATAATATTAATATATATATATATATATATATATTATATATATATATATATAATAGATATATTACCTTGTGGTTTTCGGAGAAAACAACAGCCGATATCGCTATTACTACCAGTCCAAAAATTTATACATACTTGATTGAAAATTGTTCTGCAAATTGAATAAAATTTTAATTAATGACATTTAAAAACAAATGTTAATTTTAACACGTTAATTGCCATGTCAGTCATATGTGTCTGACGCTAAGAAAGTCACATAAGGCATGTCAGACATATATGTATGACATGAAATATAATGTTTGTCCAGTAACTTCGCCAAAAAAAATCTTTGTTATATTAAGTTTCCTCGATACTAAATTTTTAACTGAAGAATCTGCTGAAGTTACCATAGCCAATGTGATTTTTTTTATTATCGTGGCAATTAACATGTTAAAGTTAACATATACTATGTTATCTTGTTAGTAATTAAAATTAAATAAAATTTAGATAAAATAGTCTGCGAAAATATATTAATATACTTGTTGATTTGTCAAGTGATATTATAAAATCTATGGATCAAATATTGAATATAATATTATTATTGAGTTTTATTATATTTTTGAAGCTCAGTGGAAATATTTTACACACCTCCAATTGATTTCCATGATATCAAAAATTTTATGTAAAATACTATTCTCTTTATTTAATAAGGTTGTGAAAATTATTATATAAAAGTAATAAATAAGAAATATGACTTTTAAATGTAGCTACTCTAGATTTTTATCTAGTTTAATGTAAGTTTCAAATAAATCTAATGTCTTCGGCATAAATATTAAATTAGTACGCGTATCGATGCGAATCAATTTTTTTATTAAAGTTTCCTTGAAAATAATTTAAAATATCTAAATGTGATTTGATAATATGTAGTCATACGAAAACCTTCATTACTTGTAAAAAGTCGATTTCTATTCGAGTTATATCAACTGTGTTTTTTACCCAGGTTAAATAATTTCTTGGTAATTAACGTATAGTCAATTTTCTACTAAATTAGTATTTATTACTTACAGGGGAAATGCTATAATTTGCACTAATGCTACAGAATGGTAAATCAATAAGCCGCACATAAAATACGTATCCAACATACGATCCTTCTGTCTTGTATACTGAAATAGAAAAAAGTAATCATTAGTATTAAAAAATAAATACATAGAGAAATTAATTCAAATCCAAGCCTCTGTTCGCCTAATAAAAATATTAAAAAAAAATATTTATTTTCATTATATAATATTCATTTCCACCTTGTTATATATTTTATGTTTTCAATATAAAAATTATCATCACTACAAAGAATTCGAATTATACAAAAACAACCGTATTTTCCGCCTTCTATTCAGGGCATTAAAAATATATTTTCGCTCTGTCGTCATCAAAGGACGGAGCTTTTGATAAAACGTTTTTCTATTGAAAAAGAGAACTTTGTATAAATTATTCTGGTCGAATATTAATGAAAACACGATGAAAAGACGGTGATGGAAATCATTTTGGAAGTTGACTTTTTTTCTGCCTTTAGTACAAAATGTTTGTCCTTTGAATTTCATTCAATCGAGGTGGCATTTGTTCTTGGAATTTCGTAAAAGAGGACTTTTGTATTTTGAAAAAGGTTGCTCAAATAATATCAGTTCTTAAAAATTATTTAGTAACTGGTACGACTTAGGCGACTAGCTTCCTCAATCGTACCAAAACACATTTCTAAAAAATGTAAAAAAGTATTGCAGAGAAACAATTTGCAGAAAAAAGATCAGTAATTGTCAAATATAAGCAAATTAAATATATGTTCATTATTGCCCAAGATTCTCTTTTATTAATTTCACTAAATGTTATAGTTCCTTTTCTGTAGGAGGTACGACTTGGGCAACCGTATCCTATCTAAGACATTTAGTTTTGGAAAAAGTTGAACTTCAACATCGATTTTTTCCTGAATTATCAAAGAACTGTCTTATTTCTATGAATAAAAAACTAATAGATTTCCTTTATAAGAACGACTTAATAAAAAGTCACTAATATAAAGTTGGCTACAAAAAAATCTTCTCTCAGTTTCTACAAATGCTTTTATTTGCAATAATTAATTTATTTATTAAGATTTCTTAATTTTCTAAAGTGAAATGACTAAAAATTTTTACCTTAGCCTATATTCAGATTATATTATTTTTCAATATATTAAAATCAATAAATAATTTTTCCTGCGTAAAATAGATGATGAAAAATATTTTCGTTCACGATTAGTAGCTAAAAAATATTTGTTTAAGAAAAAATTATTTATATAGGAAAATTTTGTGAAGTGTTTATTATAATTTGTACTTTGTTTATTTTGCTAATATTTGTTTAATGCTAAATATCAAACAAAATCCTTGTCAATATATTATGCAATATTATTATAGTATGTGTGAGAACGAATTTGAAATCTTTGTTATGTTATTTATTTATTTTAAACTAATTTAAATTTCAAAAATTCAAAACAAAATTTAGCTTTCCATATTGAAGAGAAGATGAGAAATTTTACATTTTTGAAATTAAAACCTGTTTATGATTTTTTTTCAAACTTTAATATTTATTTGGACTATTGAAATATTACTCCAAAATTATGAAATCCAAAATAAAAACCTTATAAAATATTTTATTGATATGTGACAGATTTTTTATATTTAGAAATTAAAATTTGTAAGTAATTGATGTAGAAATTCATTGATAAATTTTAGAATTATAAGATAAAAATGAAACCGCGTTTCTTTGTATTCAAACTGAATTTCGAAAATTTCAACTGAAACAGTTTTCTAAAGCTAGAAAATCATAAATATATAATATAATTATATGAAAAAAATAGAATATATGAGAGAAACTATTATGTGCTATTAGTAATTAATTTATGAATAATGTAAAAAAAATTCAAATGAAGGACAAATTGATCAATTTTTTGTTAATGAGTAATTTTTACCTTTGCTAACTAAATAATATCAAAGAATTTAAAACCACGACGTTTTGCCATTCTTTAAATAAAACATAAAAATCAATAATAAATTATTTGAAAACTTATACTTAAACATAATACCAATGTATATTAGATTGTGTTTACTGACATTTAACTTTGCTAGAATAATTATCTAAATATTTATGCGTAAACTTCTTTGTATAATCTAAAAAAAATTAAATCATTTTTAATTTTAAAACATTTCGAAGTTAACAAGGAAATTATTAGAAAAAATCCACGTTGTCAGGGAATGTTAAAAACCAATACTAAAGAATAAAATTATACACCTTTCTAATTATTTGAAAATCAGTTAATTGATTGAATATATAAGTAAAAATCTAATATTATTTGAAATTTATAATTGAAATCTCTAATACATTCAAATATTAAAGAATCGAAAAATACTAAAAATAATTTACACTGAAGCACTGAATTTTATCTTTGAATCCTGATAGTGTAATAATATTGTATGGAAGAAACATTTATAATATTATGATTATAATTAAGTATTATAAAATAAATTCAACAAAATACACAACTGTTTGAATTTAAACTCGTTCAAATCTACACACAATAACAAGCCTAAAAAGCAAAACACTTTGCATAATAAAGCAAATATTATTAAAATTTTTAACGAAATTTTAAAATTGCTTGGCACATATTGAGAAACTAATTATATATAAAATATCAAAATAATTTTACTTAATTATCAAATTAAATTTTGTTTTGTATTCATTGAAATATTGGGTGAAATCAGTATGAGTAAGTTATATTATACAAATCATCAAGATTTGAACATCATGATTAATTGGTTTTTATTGTTTTTTCTTTTATAAAATAATATTTTTATGTTTTAGATTCATTATTGAGTTCAATCATCATTTTGGTATTTTCGGTATGGTTAAGTGTAATTTTTGCAGTTAACGTAAAGCCCAAACCAAATCAAGATGATTACTGTAATCTAAATTGTACAAATGGTCCAAATGTAGGATGCACAAAACCGGTAATATTATACTATTGCAAAATAATATAATTGTTTATAAAGTAAAAGTAAATGTTTGTAATATTTTTTTAGGATGTACCAAGCGACTGTCAAAACTTTAAACTTGTTAATATAACAGAACGTATGAAAAAAGCATTTTTAAATGCACACAATAGAAAGAGAAGACTTGTTGCAGCTGGAAAAGGTCTTCTGAAAGATGGTGTACATACTCCAATTGCTGCAAAAATGCCAAACTTAGTAAGAAAACATATGATTTATTAATTTTTTTCAATTAATAATTTCCTAATTTTCGATTGAGCATATTCAGATTCTCCCAAAAACATCACTGCATTACATGTAAAATCTTTAATGAACATTCGAAACAAGTAACCATTTTTAAACTGGTTAAAATTCGAAATAAGTAAATTATTGTGATTTCTTCAATTTAAAGATTATTTGCATGAAGATATGCAGATAATAAATATATACTAATTTTTTAAAAATTGAAACTGAAATAGTTACTCAATTCACACTTAACCACATGCACCTACACCTCTAAGTATTATTAATTAAAATTTTTAGTAAATAATTTATTAACTTCCCGAAGGAGAAGTTTATGTTTTCATCAATAAATTCGATTCGCTAATTTTATGTTTTCTCGACGTTTCAAGCCATTCTGAATCGAATGAGACCAAATTTGGAAAAAGTATGTGTGTGTGTGTGCGTGTGCGTGCGTGTGAACAGATTTTTTTGCCGTAAATCGACGTTTTCTCTAAAACGGTTCGACCGATTTCAAAAATTTTAAAGCCATTCGATGTATTTCGATCAGGATTAGCGTTTCTGAGCATTGTGCGACGATCGTCCGAGCAGTTTCTTTGTAAATCTCAGAAAAGTGCAAAATTTTTCAGCTACGTTTTAGCCCGCAATTCTGAATCGATTTTTAAAATTCAAAAAACCGATTTTAGAAATTTAAAAACCATTTGATGTATCTCGATGAGGATTATTGTTTCTCAGTTTTGTGCAACGATCGGCGAGCCGTTTCTTTGTAATTTGCGAAAAAGTGACAAACTTTTCGTCCACATTTAAGCTTATACTACCGAATCGATTTTCAAAAATCAAAACTATTCAAAAGATATTAGTTGGGAATGATACTGATTAGTTTTAGGTGAAAATCTACCGAGCCGTTTTTTTGTAATTAACTGTTGAAAAAAAAAATTTAAGCCGATTTTCATGGAACTTTTTTTGGCGATATATATCATGGTCTTTTATAACCTACTGAAACATTACGGCCTTACGACAAATAGTTTAATTTTAAAAATTCATCAAAGTTTGAGAAAATGAGTAGTTTTGTTGACGTTTGTTAATATTAAAATTAGACAATTTACTTGGTGTAACAATAGAGTACTTGGTCTTGATGAACATACTAAACAATTAAAGTCCTACGGAAACTGGTTCAATTATAAAAATTATTGATTTTTGAAAACTTGCTTTTAGAAAATACTCCGATGTGTAATGAATCCACTCGGAATACTATTGATCACTCATAAATTAATTTATTTTTTATTGATTAAATCAATCATTTACACATATCGGGAAGTTCGTGTAACTTGCCTCAAGGCAAAATACCAATACATACTTGTTTTTTTTTTCAGACGTGGAATATAGCGCTCGCCAAATTAGCAGAATATAACGTGAAGCAATGCGAAATGAAGCACGATTGTGCTAAAACTAGTAAGTTAATTTTAAAGTTAATCATATCTTCATAAATTCTGATGATAATTAACTTTTTATCAAAATTAGGACATGGTCATACTGGTCAAAACTTATTTTTCTATGGCACTACTCTCAGTCCCATAACAAACTCAACTATAGCCAAAATGGCAGTTGAGGGTTGGTATTCTGAAAGCAAAGATACGAGATTGGAAGATATCAAGAAATTGACTACTATCTATCCTAAGTAAGTAAATTTAAAACTATCTTCCCTAAAGTTTTAATTTATATCACATTAATTTATGAGTATTGATCAAAATTTAATAAGTAGTGAACGTAAAGGGTAAGTGGGTAAACGTCAGGCTGCCTGAAATTCTAGCTTATAATGGACTTTAATAAATATATAAGTATCCATACATTTTTAGCAAAAAGATTTCTATTTTAGTAGTAAACCCATAAGATTCATAAACATAGTTTATTAATCTATGAATTTATTAATTATTACTGATTAATTTCAGTGGTAAACCCATTGGACATTATACCCAATTGATCTGGGGTAATACAACAAAAGTAGGATGTGCTGTCAGTACTTATAAAAAACACTCAAATGGAAATATGTTTAATATGACTCTTGTGGCTTGCAACTATAGAGGTGGAAATATGCTTGAGGAAGCAGTATATCAAATCAAAGATGCAAAAAATCCAAAATCCAAAAATCAAACTAAGAACAACAAAAAACCAAAACAAAAAATGCCAAAATAGAGCTTCTTGAAAACCAGCAATAGAGTTTTTACTGCTAAATTGAGACTGAGAAAAACAGTTTTTAAACGTTTTATAAATATATTTTTATGAAAAATATTATTTATTAAGTAGTTGTTATTGTGTTTGAAATAAATTTGAATTTACAAAAACTTTAGAATTTTTAATAAAAATCTGCAATAAATAAGCAGATAATTGTACATTATGATAAAATTATTTGCAAATTATGTGCTAAGAAAAACGTAAGAAAATTAATTGAAGTTGGTATTTCAAAAACAAAAAAACAATCATTTTATTGGAACAATAATAGAACAATTACAGCAACTTAAAATCAAAACTAGTGGGGTGTATGGCATCCTTGAGGCAAATTGCTGGAACTTCCCATACTGTAACGAAATGTTCGAGGAATATTAAATGCTTTCAAATAGATTATTATTAATATTGTAACATTATCTAATATTTATAAGAATTATATAAACTGAATTGCGAAGGTGGAATTATTTGTTTAAAGTATATTAGAACTTCTTTAAAAAAAAAAATTCTTTTTGAAATGAAAAATTGTAACAAAATGATTTTGTCAAAAAATAATTATTTTGTTGAAACAAGCAGAAAGTTCTTTGAATCATTCAAATCGGACCCTTAGTTCTCTCAAAAACTATCATTTTTTGCACATTTTGCTCTGTATCTTTGAAATGGCTGAACCTGCCTATGCCAAAAACTAATAACCACTTCTCCCAATCATTACTAATAGAATGTTTTTTAGATCATTCAAATCGGATGCTCCGTTCCCTCAAAAACTCGATTTTTATTTTCTGCATTCTTTAGTCCGTATCTCCACAACTGCTGGACCTCCCTTTGCCAAAAACTAATCAGCACATCTCTCTATCGATTGGAATCGAATGTTTTTTGAACGACTCAAACCGATCTGTGCGCCCGAAAACGTGGACGAAAAAATTCGGACATACAAAACACACGTAGGATTAGTTACACCTTACACCATATAATTTTCAACATTTTTTCACTGTTAAATATGAAATGTAAGCAGTATTGTATATTTGAGGTGAGGAATTTTAAATTTGCTAAAATTATATTTTTACATTTCACCATTGTATTTATTAATTGTTCACAATAAAAACCACTTTTAAAAAAAAAAATGATACACTATTCTAAATTTTAAAGCTCACATTTAAGTCAAAATGTTGTAGTTTTTTATGCAAAATAATATTTATCAAATTATGATCATAATTGATTACTATAGAATAAATTCAATAAAATAACAACTGTTTATTAAATTGGTTTTAACCGTTTATTAAACGATTAAATTTAAACTCGTGCAAATCTAGATCACAATAACAAGCCCAAAAACAAAACACTTTGCAAAAACTGACTTTCAAATAGTAATGCAATTTTTTAAATAATCATATATTATTCATATTTTATTAATAAACTAACCATATATAAATATATTAAATCATGTCCCAATTATATAATTAAAATTTTGTATTCATTGCAGTATTGGGCGAAACCAACATGAGTAAGTGAGATTGATTTATAAAAAATATATTAAATGTATTTTCTCAACTAAATATTTTTCATATGTTATAGATTCATATTCAATCATTATTGTGGTAATTTTGCTATCTCTAAGTGTAATTTTTGGGGTTTCTGTAAGCAAGGAACCAAAAGAAGATTACTGTGAGAGAAATTGTACTAGAGGACCCAATGTAGGATGCACGAAACCGGTACTGTTTTTATATTATATTTATCAAAACTAGTTGATATTGGCATTTTGCCTTGAGGCAAGTTACATGAACTTCCCGATAAGTGTAAATAATCGACTTAATCAATAAAATATAAATTAATTTATGAGTGATCAAAAGTAATCCGAGTGTATTTATGACACATAATTGAAAACGAACGAACACTTTGACTCGGAGTATTTTCTAAAAGAAAATTTTCAAGAATCAATATTTTTTTATAATTAAACCAGTTTCCGTAGGACTTTATTGATTTATTACGTTTATTATGACCAAGTACGTTATCGTTATACCAAGTGAATAGTCTAATTTTAATTTTAACAAACGTCAAAAAAAACTACTCATTTTCTTAAACTTTGATGAATTTTTAAAACTAAACTCTTGTCGTAGGGCCGTAATATTGCAGTAAGTTCTATAAGATCATGATATATATCGCTAAATCGCTAAAAAATCTCCATAAAAATCGGCTTAATTTTTTTTTTCAACAGTTAATTACAAGAAAACTGCTCGGTAGATTTTCACCTAGAACTAATCAGTATCATGCCCAACTAATATCTTTCGAACAGTTTTTGATTTTTTAAAATCGAAATTACAAGGAAACGATTCGGCAGATAGTCTCACAAAACTGACAAATTAAATGGCTTTTAAATTTTTGAAATCGGTTCAGGCGTTTATGAGAAAACGCCGATAAAAGGTCTTATTTTGACAAATGCCAAAAAAACGATACCAATTTTGCAAATTTTGTCAAATTTTTAAAGTTAAACGAGTTGTCATACGTCCGTAATATTTTAGTATGATCTAGAAGACTATGGTATCTACCGACAAAAAAAATTATCGAAAATTTTTTTTTACACTTTATTACAAGAAAACGGCCCGGCCGATCTTTACCAAAAACTAATCAGCACGATTCCCAACCAATATCTTTCGAACGGTTTTTGAATTTTCAAAATCGATTAAGAATTGCGGGCTAAAACGTGGAATTTTTTTTTCACTTTTATGCTATTTATAAAGAAACGGCTTGGCCGATCGACGCACAAATTTGATATACTCTAGTCCTCATCGAGATACATCGAATTGCTTCTAAATTTTTGAAATTGGTCCAGCCGTTTTTGAAAACGTCGTTTTACGGCAAAAAATCTGTTACACACACACATACTTTTTCCAAATTTGGTCTCATTCGATTCAGAATGGCTTGAAACGTTGAGAAAACATAAAAATAGCGAATCGGATTTTTTGATGAAAACATAAACTTCTCCTTCGGGAAGTTAATTTCAAATATATTTTTGTTCATTTATTCTCTTTCAGAAAGTACCAGGATCATGCAGAAATACCTTCAAGCTAATAAATATGACCAAACAAATGCAAGATACATTTTTAAAAGAACATAATAAGAAAAGAAGACTTGTTGCATCTGGAAAAGGTCTTATAGAACATGGCACCAAAAAAGCACCACCGGCTGCAGAAATGCCTGATTTGGTAAATAAAATAATACATTCAAATTATAAACTTTTACATACGCACATATCAAAGTTTTGTAACCAGAAATAATTCGGCTATTTTTGAAATAAAACTTCTTTAGGCGCGACTAGGGTGTAAATCCGCACAAATGCAACGGAAGTGCGTTACGGCAGATAAGATAAGATAAGAGTCGAGTGCCAATGATTCGTCATTCGCTCTCGATGATATCATTTCTATACGGTTCGATTGTGATTAGTCGTCGCGTATGTGAATAGAGATCTGTCGTTGTATGCGTACCGGCATCAACGTTGCATGCGTACCGATATCAACGACGAAATCAGCATAGATAAATAAACATTTTAAAGTTACATCGTAGTACAAATCTTGATTTAATGAAAAATGCCTGAATCAGAAGAATATTTTACCCTGTTTCTTGAAAATATTGAACATTTGTGCCATATTTAAATAAATTGCTGTAGATTTTAGATCTGATTGTATTACTAGATTTATTTAATTTTTTTTAAGTAAAACTTCTTTAGGCGCGACTAGGGTGTAAATCCATACAAATGCAACGGAAGTGCGTTACGGCAGATAAGATAAGATAATAGTCGAGTGCCAATGATTCGTCATTTGCTCTCGATGATATCATTTCTATACGCGTCGATTGTGATTAGTCGTCGCGTATGTAAATAGAGATCTGTCGTTGTATGCGTAACGGCATCAACGTTGTATGCGCACCGATATCAACAAGAAAATCGGCATAGATAATAAACATTTTAAAGTTACATCGTAGTACAAATCAAGAGAATATTTTACCTTGTTCCTTGAAAATAATAAAACAAAGTAAACATTTGTGCCGTTTACTAAACGTAAGTTTATTGATAAGAAATAATTTCTACATTATTCTTAGTTTCTATAAATTTTTGAAGTTATTGAAATAGAAAATATTTTCAGATAAGACAGATATTACAGCTGTAATATCTGAAAAAGTAAAAAACTAGTGGGGTGTATGGCATCGTGCCTTAAGGCAAATTGCTAGAACTTCCCGTACCGTAACGAAATGTTAGAGGAATACTGAATGTTTTCAAATAGAGTATTATTAATATTGTAACATTGTATAATATTTATAGAAATTATAATTATAATAATTATATCTATATATTTATAGAAAGCTGAAATTGTTTGTTTAAAGTATATTAGAACTTTAGTCAGAATTAAAATTAAAATCCGAATTATTTTCGATATACAAAAAAAATTTTTTTTGAAAAAAAAAAGTTGAAAAAAAAAATTATTTTTCCAAAATCAATTATTTTGTTAAGGCAATCAGAAAGTTTTTTGAATCATTTAAATCGTACGCTTAGTTCTCTCAAAAACTGCAATTTTTTACACATTTAGCTCCGTATCTTCGAAACGGTTGGGCCTACCTTTGTCAAAAACTAATAACCACTTCTCCCAATCATTACTAATTGAATGTTTTTTAGATTATTCAAATCGGATGCTCCGTTCTCTCAAAAACTCGATTTCTTTTTTTTGTACTCTTTGCTGTTTATCTCCGTAATTGCTGGACCTGCCTTTGCCAAAAACTAATCAACTCATCTCCCTATCAATAGGAATCGAATGCTTGAATTGTTTAATTCAAATCGGTTGATCCGTGCGCCCGAAAACGTGACTGGAAATTTGTATCAATACATACATAGACACACACACGCATCCATTTTTTCTGAGGTATGCCAAAATGTTCAGAAACCTTCAAAACGCCGAGAAATGTAAAAAAATTTAAATTCGATTTTTGGCCCATTACAATAACTTACCCTACGGGAAGTTAAAAAACCATCTGTCAATGAATGTATGTTAATTTTAATTACTAGAAGTTTTTCAAACAATTAAATGATGAGTGAAGTTGCGAAAACAATATTTGTTTAAAGGTTGTTTAACATAATCCACTGTGTGAACTATTTTTATAGAATTTATTAATCAGCAAATACTTCATTTCTATAATGAAGGTTTATTTCTAAATGCTAATTATAATGACAAACCGATAATGTCATATTTGAAGAATGACTTTAATTACATGATTGTTTTTAAATATTATACATATTTTTGATTCTATCATAAATATATAATTTATAATTGTGTGCATCACGAGTGTTACCATATTACTGATGAACATTATTCTAAAATTGTTACATGATGTATTTATTTTTACTTAAATGCCATCTTGTACAGTAGCAAATAAGTTTTACTTCAATCAAGTGTGAACCTTACGCAAACTCTTTTTTTTTAGAAATGGAACAACGAGCTCGCCAAATTAGCCGTATTTAACGTAAGAAAATGCGAAATGGAGCACGATTGTGCCGAAACTAGTAAGTTTCTTTCTAAATTTCTAAAACCCATTGTTTATTACCAATGACATTAATAAGTATTTTTAATTCAAAACTAGAGCATGGTCATACCGGTCAAAATTTGATGATATTTGGAACTTCTGGTGATGCTGTAACAAATCAAACTATAGCCGAAATGGCAGTCGAGGCTTGGTATGCTGAAAACAATGATACGAGATTGGAAGATATCGAGAAACTGACCACCATCTATCCCAAGTAATTGACATATCTACTAGGGTTTATACAAAAATCGACATTTCAGAAAACCGGTTTTCGAAATTTTATTTTACTAAAAAACCGGTTTTAACCGGTTTTCGAATTTTATATAGAAAATGAATTTTTGCTCGAAAAATTCTGTAATTTATCCGCAAATTTAGTGTGATTTAGAGCAGTATTTGACTGAATTTATTTATTGTTCAATTTTATAGACAGTAAACAAAATTATTTTGATTTAAATTAGTAGAACTTAAAAATAATAGTTTATCTTGATTAAATAACTTTGAAAATAATTATTCGTTATTCATGCATCATTTTCACATATAAGAATGAAAATATTTTTATGATAGTGAAAAGAAAGTTTTCGAATAAATAAAAATAATACATTTTTAAATAAAAAAAATCAATAAATTAAAAAAAAATAAAAAAAATTTAGATACATACTTGTTAATATCAATTTTAATTTTAAAAACAATCAAGCTAAACTAGCGTATTGTCTGTTCCGAGCAATTTTAATTAATTAATTTTACACATTCTAATTGTTTTTTTGTTTAAGGCGTTACATGGGTTTCCTCGGGCAAAAAAACCCTTTTTTTCAATTATGTTTTTTACATATAAAAAATGAAATATTTTAATGATTTTTTTTATTTAAAAGATACATATTCAATAAACATTTTGTAAAATTTTCAAAAAAAAAAAATCAAAATGGCGGTCATTACGAAAATGGCAGTCCCTCGAAAAAGAGGTGTCAGCAGAACTTCTTTCATATCAGGATTATCCGAAAAATAAAAAATACGTGTTTTAGTAAAGACAATAAACTAGGTATTGGACGAAGGAAAAAAGAAAAAAATGAAAATTGGATTTTTGGCAGACGTTTTTATAA